GAGCCTGTCTATACCCTGCAGCTGAGCGTGGTGCAAAGATCACTGATGTAGATCTAAGCAAGCTGGTGTGTCCACATGAGGCTGTACAGTGCCAGAAATACTTGCTTACAGCCTGAATGCAGGCATGGCATTTTGGTTGATAAAATGTCTATAAAATCATGAGTGACACAAAGTAAGGGAATAGGGAATTATTGTTCCTGATCTTTTCCATAGAAAAGGTGGGGACATCAGATGATAGTAATGGGAGACAAGTAAAGAAGTGATGGTGATTTTTTTAAAGAAACACATGGTTGATCTATAGACCTTCTTGCCACAAAATATTGCAGGTGCTAAAACCTTATAGACATTCAAGGGACAATGCCCAGGTACATGGAAGAGAAATTCATTGTGTGTTAAGAAAACCAGTGAAACCCTGTGTGACTTAGGAAATTCCTGAGCTCCAAATAATGAAGCTGAGTACATGAATACTTGGGGGAAACTGTGTTCTGCTGCACACTATGGTTGTGGCCTGGTACTCCAGCACAATGTCCCTTTAGAAGTGAGAAAGCTATTTGGGTTGTTCTTCTGAATGGACCTACATAGATTGTAATGAGGAGTTTCTCTCTGTGTCTCATCTGAAAGACACCATGGAAAAATAAGCTCTGAAGGAGGCTGAGTGGATTTTCCCCAGGCTTTCATAGCTATACTCTGGCAAACAAGAAAATAGTATTCCTTTTTTTTTCTACAATTACATGTAGATGAACATGATCTTTGAGAGGTTTCCACTGGAAAATGGAGAAGGCCTGGAAAAATCAAAGGCAAAGGCCCCAGAAGAGTGCCCACTTGGTGTCAGCCCTTACGGTCCGACCATTTGCCTCCCTTGCCTACACCTTCCTGCAGTTCTGCTTGATGTGTGTAGCCCAGCCCTTCCAGCACTGGGAGGAGATGGCTTTTGAAGTGTGTTGGTGCTCTACAGGCTAGAATTGGAATAACATTCAGAGACATGACATTTCTTCATGCCAGATTATTCTTGGTGCCAACCCGGATGAGCTCTGTCTTGAAAGCCTAAGCAGCTGGGAGATATATAAAAGAGAGAGAATACTAATGACATCACTTCCAATCAAGGTGAAAGTTATTTAGATTGTCCTTGATCGTTCAAATTATATCTCATTAAATATCAGAGAAACCTGACTGCTGTGGTCATATTGCTGTCTTGTAGGACCTCAGCAAACTAGTTAGTATACTAGAGGAGTACAGGTAGTGTTTACCTGGATGTGGTCCAATGTAAAGCTCCATCTATACCGTTCTCACTGTTATCTCAGCCCCATTGCTTGTTAGGGGATGCATTTGCCACACCTAGTTTTAAGGTCTTCTGTGTGATCTTTCTTCTACCGAAGAAGAGTGAAAAATTACCAATGTCATGCTTAACCTTTCTGTTTCTCTTTAAGCCTTGTGTTTGCTGTGGTTCACATGGAATCATCTCTTTATACTCTGGTAAAGGGTGGTGGCATTCATGTAGATGAAGTTAGGCTGAAATTTGGTAGCTGAAATCTGCTACCAAGGCAGTTTCTTCTGCTTCTGCCCTTCCTTGACACAAGTAAAACCCAACTACTTGGAGACTGACCCTGTGCACTGCAGAGGGCTGTTTCCCAATGTTAATAATCCTCTGTGCCCCTCTTCATCTGGCAGTTACTGACCTTCTCATTTTTCCCAGAGGCAGTCTCAGATGTTAAGAAGACAATGGTTTGTTTTAAATTTGAGAAATACTGAATTTCAGAGAACATGCACTGCTGGAACTTGCTTTTCATTCATTGCTCTGTGTATTGCTGGATAGATTCTGTAATGCTAAAGTAATAGAGAGTTAAGTCTTTCTTTGGTGTATTTTGAAGGTCCTAATTTCAGAGTGCTGAAGGCAAAGACTAAGGTGTGTATTCCTTAAAGCCACGTTTTAGAGAAATATGTGACTCTGATCCCTTATACATAAATCTATTTGTAAAGTCTTATTCTGACTTCGTGGATAAAGTCCTTTCTTTACTCCAGCTTCGTGGTGAAAAGATATTTATCTGATATTGTGGCAAGTGAATATGACATGGGGCAGAATAGAAATCAGAATTTCTGGATATTCTGTCTACCTGTGTGAAGTGGAGAGAAATTATAGCCTGCCGGTGTCTGTGCTTTCCTATCTGTAAAACAGGGGTATGGATATACTCCTCTTATGGGAGAGCTATGAGTCCCAGGATAATTACAAAGTCTGTGACGAATCTTAGAAATTCAATTGTGAGATAGTGTGTAAGCATGTAATATTGTCTCTGTGGGTATCTTTAGTGAGACGGATATAGTGATATCAAAAGAAATATTTTTTTCACCTCAACCATTTTCTTTAGAACCCAAAGTGAAAGCTGTTTCTACCAACTGCCATCTTTGCAGCCATCTGGAAAATCACATTTTCTGAAGCTTTCCTTCTCTTTATCAGCTGTAACTAAAGCTATAAAATGGGAAGATGTCTCTGGTTTAATTAACACCCCTGTAGTTCAAAAGCTGATCTTAGTAATGAGAGGCAATTAGAGCCTTTATTGAGGGACAGTCAGGTGGAACAAACCCAGCATCAATCTATTGAAGATACTTCCCTTTTCAGGTAATTTGGAAACTATTTTTATGATGAACAGTCTACCTGGCCCAATACAACAGATGCATCTCTTGGTTTGTAACCTGAAAAGAACTTCTTATTTTGATTTATGTGCTTCTTTTGTAAAATGGTTTTTGCATCCCATCCATCTGCCAACAACTAGCAACTGAGCTAAGGAAATACCTGTTGGTTTTTGGAAGGCATTGTTGCTGGTTTTCTAATTTTACTTTCCTGTCCACTGTTGCCTTTAATTTTGAAGGTTGCCTGGTGTTCATATTTTTCTTCTGGCAAAACTGCAGACTCTGTGGTGTGCCCACATCCTGAGGGCTATGCAGAGTTCTTGTCTCTACACCTCAAAAATGATGTGGTAGAGCTAGAGAAGGTTCAGAGAAGGACACTGAAATGATAAAAGGGAATGTGATTTCTGCTATATGAGCTAAAAAAGGCTGTGGCTCCACTTCAGACAGGCGAGAACTGAGGGCAGAGGTAAAGTTGAGTTTAGCTGAAGTCATGCAGGTGATGGATAAGGTAGATGTAGAACTTTAATACTAGAGCTAATGGGCACTAGCTGAAACAAGGAGATCTGCTTCAAATTATGAAGTACTTTTTTACACAGCAGATAGGGAACTTTTGGAATCTGGGCAGTGTCAACAGGTTAAAAAAAAATAAAAATTCAGAGCACTAGGTCCATAACCTGAGTCTAAAGGTGGTGGTCAGGGCTGAGGCAGTACAATAGGAATGGTCTACAGAGAATGGCCATACTCTTCTGGTCTGCCTCAGTAGTATCTCAGGTGCTGTCTGGCTTCCAGCTTCTGATCTGTAAGAGTGTGGATCTGCTGTATTCCCTGTATTTCATCTGCCAGCCTTCTATAGATATCCTGATATCTCAGGGGTCTCAAATGATGCCTCTTTCTGGAAAGCTCATTTAAACCCTCAGTGTCTACAATGCAGGCACCTACACTGGAGCTAGTCACTGAAGGTGGAGCTCTACTCATGATTAAGACGCCTGCATTCGGCTGTTTGCATGTAGTTGTCTACCTGTGCAGCAGGTGTCTAAATTCTTCTGCAGTCAACAGAAGTCTAGTCACTGTAATGGGCACCTAATGAATACAGTCAATGGAACAGTCAGTACTGTCATTTCATCTCACCATCAGGTAGTTAAATAACTCACTACTGCCTCTTTTTTCATTAAATCTGTTGACTATAATGGGAGCCTGGACACCTGGCACACATGTAGATACCAAAATTTTGTTATATTAATCTTGAACTGAGTTCTGTCCCAAGATTTTTATTATAGTGACTGTAAAGAAATAGATGTCTCCTGGGAATAAGTCATTGACCTGTTTTAGACACCTAGGTGTAGATGAGATAAACTGCAGTGGGGGAAGTGCATATTTCTATTCATTGACTTTAAGGGGAGTCTAGATAGTGGTACCCTTGTGGTCAATGCACACCATGGCCAAGTGAGTCCCAGCCATCCCATTTTGGAGACTTTGGTACTGTCACTTAGAATCTTAGCCGTAAGAAATTTAGAGTTTTAAAGCAGTGCAATGTGAAAAAGTGAAATTATAATTTCAAAACATACCCCCACAAACTTATAGTTGGATTTAGAATAAAGGTTTAGCACTGATTTTACTATTTGTAAACTATGCTGTGAAGCACACTACATCCTCTGTCCTGGATTAGTTTAATATCCTGACAAAACTGCTTTTGCCAGACTAGCTATAAAAGCTGTGAAACCATAAAGCAAGGTGGCAAATTGTTTATTTTTCAATAATTAAAGATAAAGCAGACATTAAACCCCAAAAGTCTTATGGTGTTCCAGCAGTAAGTGGCTTTCATGAGGTGTCTGGGAGAAAGGTTTATTCAGTGTGAAAGAGTTTGGAACAGAATTTCTTTGGTTGGTGGCTCTGTGGATGTTTTTAACTCCATGCTGTAAGCAGACACAGAATTTGGATGCCATCAGTGTAATCTGCTTTTGGGACCAGGAAAAACCAACTCCTCTCAAAAATACTGTGGACAAGTCAATCTATTTCCAAAGCTTCCACTATTGCATGTGATACAGGATGGATGTGAAATTTCTTTAGTGACTTGGTGCGATATAATCTTGTTTAGGAGACTGCACAGTTATTTGAGGTAGAATGGATTGTCCATTCTTTAATCTCATCTTTCCCACTCCTGTGTGTACAACTTTGCTGTTCTGTGTCTTACTTGCTTCAGATACAGGATGTGGGTGAGGAGATAGAAAGATGGTGTGACTGCAAAGTTCTTGTGGGTTTGGATCTGGCTGCGGCATCAGAGTCACTGAGATTCACATGGCTTGTATGAAGGAGGAGCTGTGGTCATCACCTGCCTTGCTGACTGTCCTATCTTTTCATTCCCCCTCACAGGTTATGGACATGCTGCCCCAGGGACAGATGCGGGGAAGGCCTTTTGCATGTTCTATGCGGTCCTGGGGATCCCACTGACACTCGTCATGTTCCAGAGCTTGGGCGAGCGCATGAACACCTTCGTCAAGTACCTCTTGAAACGCATCAAAAAGTGCTGTGGGATGAGAAGCACCGAGGTCTCCATGGAAAACATGGTCACTGTGGGTTTCTTCTCCTGCATGGGAACACTCTGCATTGGAGCAGCAGCCTTTTCCCAGTACGAGGAATGGAGCTTTTTCCATGCTTACTATTACTGCTTTATAACATTGACTACGATAGGGTTTGGAGACTATGTGGCCCTGCAGACCAAAGGGGCCCTTCAAAAGAAGCCTCTCTACGTGGCTTTTAGCTTTATGTACATTCTAGTGGGGTTGACAGTCATTGGGGCATTTCTAAATCTGGTTGTTCTCAGGTTCTTAACCATGAACAGCGAGGATGAGAGGAGGGATGCTGAGGAACGGGCGTCCCTGGCAGGGAACCGCAACAGCATGATTATCCACATCCAAGAGGACTCCCAGCATGGTCGGCCACGGTACAAGGCCGAAGTAACAGACCTTCAGTCAGTTTGTTCCTGCATGTGTTACAGGTCCCACGAGTACACCAGCCGGGTGGTGTCCCACCAAAATTCGTTCAGCTCGAAGCTGAACCCCCAGTACTTTCACTCCATCTCTTACAAGATAGAGGAGATCTCACCAAGCACATTAAAAAACAGCCTTTTCCCATCTCCTGTCAGCTCCATCTCACCTGGGTTGCACAGCTTTACAGATAACCACAGGCTGATGAAAAGGCGAAAGTCTATTTAAAGGGATTTGTCTTCTTCTGCTTTCCTTGTTTTCCCCAGTTCTTCTCTGTTGTTTTGGTTTTGTTGTTCCTTGAGTGAGACGGAGCGAGGCCAAAGGGAGTAGAGAAAGCCAGTCCTCCTCTGAGACTCAGCTCTTGAGCATGAAGCATGGACTATTACTGTTCCAGCAAAGTATGCCTTACATTACCCCCTCGGTGGATGTCAGAGGATTCAAGGTGACGTGAAGTGGGTACCAAATCCAAAGTTGCACACACAGCTGGGAGCCTTCATGTGCCACTGGCACTCCTGACCTAATAAACTATTTTCCTCATGAGCAGGTTGCAGCGTGCGTGTGTGCTTGTGTGCGTGCTGGGCGTGTGCGTGTGCGTGTGTGTGCGTGCGCAATTCCACGACTAGTGCCATGTGACAAAAATTAAAGCATCAGGTATTATTTTTTTGTTTCCCTTGAAGCAATTGTGTTCCAGCCTGCTTTTAACTTTTAGATTGCTTCCAAAAGGAATGGGGAGGGTGGGAGGGGAGCCAATTTGTTTTGTTTTTTGCCAAGACAAGCATGCGCCATAAGCAGTCAATATACCAGGTGTATCATGATAAATTTTTTAATGCTAGATTTTAGATTGTACTAACATTAAAAAAGGCAGGAAAAGATGGATCATTTTAGCTTGCCAGTTCAAAATTAAAAAAAAATAAAATAAAATAAAATAAAGCATGCACTTTGTAAAACTGGTATGCATAATAAAAACACAAGAAAAACTAGCAATGGAATTAATAATCAAAAGCAAATAATCCTGTTGATTTAAGTATATTTACTTTTATCATTTTTAACTGTTCCAACAATTTGCAAGTGGAATTTTTAAGATAAATCGGGAGAATTGTTGGAACTAAAGAGTGTATTTTGTTATTTTATTTTTATTTATA